GCCACTGCTGTAGCTGAGCTTATGTGAAAGATGCGACACAAAAGAAGGGAACAGGACAGACATGGTTCTGCATCAGAGTATGATAACCAGATGTTCATGTAATGGTTGTTTCTCAGTGAGCCGGATCAGTTTAGCAATGATTGAACAGTGCTATGAGCTAGAACAGAGAGGTGTGGAGGATGTCAAGGAGAGAAGGCAAGGTTCTGTCCAGACGGAGCTTACCCTCCAGGGAGGAAGCCGACATCAAGCCAATAGGCCTGGAGCACTATAAGGATTTCAGGAGAACTATGTGGGGAGGCTTTTCTAACCTCAGCCAGGGGCTCAAGAGAGGCCTCGCTTGGGAAACTCTAGTGCTGAAGAAGAGGTTGGAAAACTAAGCATTAAGAAGGGGTTGGGAGATGCCGGCGAGGATGTGGAGAAAAGGGGACACTAATCCACTGTTGGTGGGAATGCAAGCTGGTAAAGCCACTATGGAAGACAGTCTGGAGAGTCCTCAGAAACCTGAACATAGCACTACCACAGGACCCAGCCATCCCACTCCTTGGAATATACCCAAATGGAATTAAAGGGGTGAAAAAAGCCATTTGCACCTCAATATTTGTTGCAGCTCAATTCACAATAGCTAAGACATGGAATCAACCTAAATGTCCATCAGTGGATGACTGGATAAAGAAACTATGGGATATGTACTCTATGGAACACTATACAGCAGTAAAAAACAACGAAATCCGGGCATTCACAACAAAATGGAGGAAGCTGGAAAACATCATGCTGAGTGAAATAAGCCAGTCCAAAAGGGATAAATATCACATGTTCTCCCTGATCGATGGCAACTAAACGAGCACCTAAAATGATACCCATTGAAGTGAAATGGACACTATGAGAGACAATGACATGAGCAGCCCTTGTCTAGACTGTTGAGGAAAAACTTACTATTTTGTTCCTTTAGTATTTTTGTTGTTGTTGTTGTTGCTCGGTATGCTCTACACAAGACCACTGGTTGAACTCTGCAATCAATGCACAACCATTCTTAAGCGTTTAAAAATTAATAGGAAATTGATCTCTGTGGAACATGGGAGTGGGAATAAGAGAGGGAGGAGATATATAGGACGGCACATACTCACTCAGACCTACCTCCAATGGTGGATCTGGAAATGTGCCAAGGGATTTCAACTCAATCTTACCAAGGAGGCAGGTACCAAGGCCAGCACACTTGGTAAAGAGACAAATATAAATACACAACTGATCCAAAAGATAGGGTAAGTGTCAAAGAGATTACACAAATAAGACCAGTGTAAGCAAATAATGAAAGATAGAAACAAAAGGGTTGAGAATGATCCTGGGGGGAAGCAGGTCACACAGCAGACTTATAGAATGGCAAATGCCCAAAACAGCACTCCTGCCTCAGAATCAACCCTTGGGACATTCGGATCTGACTAAAAGGTCCATGAGAGTCTCGCAGGCATGGAAAGCCATGACATGGTGGCAAAAAACAATCTAAATGAAGGATCCTGGTGAACAACACTCCAGCAGAAGGATCAGGCCATCAAGGAGAGAGGCGCCTTTCTCTGAAGGGAGGAAGGAACCTCCACTGTGATATGGCCTTGACTAAACAAATTCAGAGTTGGTGAACTCAAGGGGCTTCCATAGCCTAGACAGCTCATAGCAAGAGTCTCGGGTGATTGCTGACGTCATAAATAAGAGTGCCAATTGTTAAATCAACAACAGGAGTCACTGGGTTCATGCTCCCCACGCAGGATCTCTGTCCTTCATATGTTTATCTATGAAACTCAAAAACAACACTACTAGTCGAACAATACCCTATACCTGGTTCGGTTGTGTGAGTGCAACCTGTTGAAATCCCTGCTTAGTATATACTAAGTTGATCTTCGGTATATGAAGGTAACCGAAAATGAAACGTGATGGGGGGGGGAGGGGAGAGGAAGTGGGTGAGGGGAGGGCCACGGGAGGGAGGGAGGTCGGGGGGAAGCCACAACAATGCAAAAGATGCATTTTATATTCTACTTAAAACTATTGGTTGAGCTCTGTAATTAATACACATTTACTCTTAGGTGTTTAATTAATGCTATAACTAGTACTCAAATAGTATTTTACACTTTATGCTTCTGTGTGGGAGCAAAATGTGGTAATCTTTACTTAACATACGCTAAATTGATCTTCTGTATATAAAGATAATTGAAAATTAATTGTGACGTGAAGGGGAAGGGGAGAGGGAGTGGGAGAGGGGAGCGTTGTGGATGGGAGGGAAGACACGGGGGGGGAGGAGGCTATTGTGGTCCAGAAGCTGTACTTTGGAAATTTATGCTCATTAAATAAATTAAAAAAAAAAATTTACTGGTGTGAAAAAAAAAAAGAAGGGGTTGGGGGAAGGATTAGGAGGACTGAAGTGGGGCATGGAAATTGGCACGTACAAGGGAGTTGTTTGGGCAGAGGTCCAGAAAGTGCTGCACTCTGCATGCAACCAGAAAGAGAACCCCACAGAATCAGACTACACATCTCATAGTCCTGACAAGTGTGGCTGGAGCAGAACAATTTTCCAGGACAGGATTTGCAACACTGGCTCTGTCTTGAAATGAGACGCCAATTGCAAGCAATGAAAGAAATTGTGAGTGAAATGTCTGATTAATTTGCCACTCTCAAGCACTTGGCCCTTTAGGTTTTCTTCATTCCATGTCAGGGAAAACAATGAACACCGCGAGCTCTCACTCTAATCTATTCATGGCAGCTACAGCTATTCCAGTGTTCCCTCACAGAAGGGCTGCGAGGAATCCACTACGCTGAGAACCGGGGATGAAGCAGGCTACTACATAGTGTAGTTAATGACAACTTTTTAGAGGTTCAGGTATTCTTAAGGCAGATTTACCCTCTTTGGAGAAAAACATGAGTTACTAGACACATCAAACCGAGTGATATATTCTTTGACCTGGTTTATTTCCTTGCACAAATGTCTTTAATTCTGAACTTACACCTCCATCTCTTCACACATCAGTGGTTTCTTCCCCTTTAAGCTATACCTGCACAGGCGACAGCTCCCTAAAAAACTGTCCTAAAATCACTTCATTTCACGCTTCCTTTACAAAATGATATCACCTACTCAAGCAAAAGTACTTTAGGCAGGTAAATTCTATCCTTACAATAACGATGAGCCCTTGATCTTAAAAAAAATAAAAGCCTGAGATTTCAGACGGATGCTCCAGTGTCGGCTTCTCCCTCGTGAATGCAAGGTATGAGTGCACTGGGTCTACTGGAGCACACAGTGGTAGTGTAAAGTGTTCCTGTGGCTTTCACTGGGTGTTCTCTTGTGTGCATTTCTAATCCCATCCTCCGTAGGACTGTCCTTGATGACATCCAATTCTCCTAAACCTGATGCCAGTGAACTTGATGAAGGCCTGTGCCGGGTACCCTGCAACAGTGAGCCTGATAAAAGCGAGCAAGCTCTGGAAGCCTCAGACACATCTTCATCATCACCACCTCTATTTCAGGATTAAAATTCCACCTTGAAAGAATGAAGCTCATCATGGGATGTTCTGTCAAAGCATGATCTCATGTCTACTAGGACGGCTACAGTAAAATAAGTAGAAAAGAAGTACTGGTGGGGCCGGAGCTGTGGCGCAGCAGGTTAACGCCCTGTGGCCTGAAGCGCTGGCGTCCCATATGGGCACCGGTTCTAATCCCGGCAGCTCCTCTTCCAACCCAGCTCTCTGCTATGGCCTGGGAAAGCAGTAGAAGATGGCCCAAGTCCTTGGGCCCCTGCACCCACATGGGAGACCTGGAAGAAGCTCCTGGCTCCTGGCTTCGGATTGGCGCAGCTCCAGCTGCTGCAGCCATCTGGGGAGTGAACCATCAGACGGAAGGCCTCTCTCTCTCTCTCTCTGCCTCTCCTCTCTCTGTGTAACTCTGACTTTCAAATAAATAAATTGTTTTTTTTTTTTTTTTAAAAAAAGAAGTATTGATAAGGTTGTAGAAGAATCAGAACCTTTGTACTTGGCAGGCAGGAACGTAAAATGGTTCAGCTGCTACAGAAAACAGGAGATCCTGCAAAAGGTTAAATACAGTTACCATATGGCCCTGTAATTCCATTTCTAGGTATACATTCAAAAGACTTGAAAACAAATACTAAAATGAGTACGTGTTTATGTTTGTTTATAGCACTCCTATTTATATCCATCAACTGACAAATGGACAAGCACAATGTGATATCTACATGCAATGGAGCATTAGCCATAAAAAAGAATACAGGACTGACACATACTACAACTTGGGAGAATCTTCAAAAACCTATGCTAAGAGAAAGATACCAGACAACATGGGTCACATATTGTGTGATTCCATTTTCATGAAATATCCAGGATACTGTAGATAAATAAATCCATAGTGATAGAATGCAGAGCCATGGCTGTCCAGGGCTAGGAGTAGAGAGAGTGGAACAGGGAGAAAGCGCTTAATGAGTAAAGGATTTTCTTCTGCAGTGATGGACATGTTTTAGAACTAGATAGAAGCTGTGTTTCCAACAACACTGTGGATTTACTACATGCCACCAAACTGTCCATTTTATTTATTTTGCAAAGATTTATTGTATTGGAAAGGCAGAGCAACAGACAGGGAGGGAGAAACAGAGAAAGAGATCTTCCATCCTCTGGTTCATTTCCCAAATGATTGCAGCAGCCAGCTCTGTGTCAGGCTGAAGCCTGGAGCTAGAAACCACATCTTGGTCTCTTCAGTGGGTGGCAGTGGCCCAAGAACTTTGGCCCTCATCACCCAAGGCACAGTCAGCAGGAACGTGGATCAGAAGCCACAATCTGAACAAGCACTCCAATACAGGGTGCTGGAATCCCAAGTGGTTGTTTAACCTGCTGTACTACAACACCGGCCTCATAAATTGTTCATTCTAAAATGATTAATTTTACACTATGTGAATTTTACTTCAACAAATAATGTTTTAAATTAAAAAAATACAAAATAATGCATTGCCCTGGAAATAAGTGCCAAATTTTATTGCTGAAAGGAGTCTTCTAAATCACTTAGTTCACAAATCGTTTCTGTAGGTGAGGTCACTAAATTTCCCACAGGAACAGAGCAGGTATCTTCCAGTTGTTTGTTTTTCTCTCCTTGTTCATTGGCCTTTACATGGGAAGGGAACAGAGTTCAATTTTTGGAGCCATTTGCCAACACATTATCTCCTAGAAAAATACAGAGAGGAAATTTTGAATGTTGTCTTCAGACTTGGGAATATGGATTCACCATTCACTCCACTGGGACATCCAGGACCACCCAATGACTAATCTGAGTAAATAGCTTTGGTTTTTCACTCTCAACTCTTGTTTACCTTAGATTGGTAAACAATTCTGCTTGATGAAGAGGGAAACTCTAATTTTTTCCATTTGGGTTTAGAAGGTCTCATGGCCTGGATAGTGCCAAGCCATTTACTTCCAAAGAAAACTTTCAATAAGGCCAGTCTGCAAGACTCTTAGCCTATCTGCCCTCCCCTAGGGTCCTTCTCTGTTTTTCTCTCATTCTCTGTTCGTCCTACCCCCACTCTGAGTTCTGACAAGCCACAGTGACACACCATGAGAGGATAATAAACTTCTTTCCTAAATTGTGTTCCCTCTCCTGGATTTCTTCATGTTTTCCATTTCTCTGGCTTTTCTTTGGTTATTCAAACATATTCAGGAATATAGTTTTTATAAATTCCTTTAAATGTAAAAATAGCACTGGGCATTTGGTGCGCAGTTAAGTCTTCATTTGGGACACCTGCATCCCATATTGGAGTGCCTGATTTAAGTCCTGGCTCTGCTTCTGATTCAGCCTCCTGCTAATGTGCACACTTTGGAGACAGCAGGTGATGGCTCAACTAACCGAGTCTCTGCCACCCCCAAAAGAGACTGAAATGGAGCTCCAGGCTCCTGACTTCAGCATGGTCCAGTCTCAGCTGATGCAGGCATTTGAGGACTGAACCAGCAGATGGAGGATCTCTGTATGTCTCTCTGCCTTTTAAATAAAAGGAAAAGAAATAATTAACTATAAAAATATTAGAACATTTATTACATTATAATCATAAAGCAACATTGTCAAAATATGTAACTTTCATTTTAAAAAACCTTTTCTTCCAAGAAGACTGTTCTTCCATAAGTTGAAATGTATTACCTAGTGTGACTTAATCAATTGGCAGTTCTTTTTGAAAATTGTATTTTAATGAATAATTGCTAAAATCTATTTGAAGGTAGTTTCAAAACCAGGTCAGAGAAATACAATAACAACTAATCACATTCTCATATAATAATACAATTAAAAATTTGTATTTATTTATTTGAAGGCAAAGAGAAAGATAGTGAGGCGGGGAGTGGAGAGAGAGGAGAGGGAGAATCTTCCATCTCCTGGTTGACTCCCCAGATCTCTGCAACAGTCAGTGCTACCCCAGATCAAAGCCAAATTCAATCTGGGTCTCCCATGTGAGAGGACGCAAGCATTTACAAAGACCCAAGCACTTGAGCCATTATCTCCTGCGTCCCAGTGTACTCATTAGCAAGGAGCCAGGGAGTGGAGCTGGGACTTGAACCCAGACATTCACACATGCCATGCCAGTGTCCAGGACAGTGTCTTAACCACCCTGCCAAATGCCTGCCCCAGGTACTTTCTTAAATATCATAATCGTGGTATCTAGGGACATGGGTAGCAGAGCCTCTCTATGGTAGTGCAAACAGACAAGCAAGTTTTAGGCACTGCCTTGCTATGAACTATCATTCGTGTGCGGAAGCCTAATCCCCAGAGGGAGGAGGTCATTAGGTTCCTGAGGGAAGAGCCTCCTAGTGGGAACAGTGTCCTTAGAGATGTGAGAGGGACAGTCACTCTCCACCACGTGAGGATGGGGCAAGAAAGTGAGCTGACCACGCTGTCTCCTTGATCATGGACCTGTGAGATATAAATGCTGTGTTGTTCAAGCGGCCCAGTTTACTTTGTTTTTGCAATTGCAGCCCAAACTAAGCACTTTTTAAAAAATAATGCCTTCTGGAATATCAGCATGGTGAATTTCTACGTGAATCTCTAGGTGATTTGCCATCAGTATGGTGAACCCCTAAATAACATTTTTGCCAGTTGTCTGCAAGAAAAATATATTCTTGCCTTGTGAGCAGTCAAGATACCAGAAAAGGAAACAGGTTTCTTAAAGGGACAGAGAAGAAGTCTATGCATAGTTGTTATCTCGCAATAACTAACAGGTCAAATTCTTGTAACAAAGGCTTACAAGGTTGTCCTCAACCACTGCAAAATACACAGTGTTTCTCAGGACTCCTCTTCACAGAAGACGTTCTCTTGCCAGGTTTCTCCAAGAAATACCACGGCCGAAACATCTGCTTTCCACATCCGCACCCCTTCAGCTGGATTCGCAACAGAAACTTCCATGTAAGGTCAGAGTTATAGCAACGAAGTCTTCACACAACTCAAGTGGCTGCAACATGCAATGAACTGGGAGGAAAAAGCTGAACTAATTTTAGGATGGGGCCTCAAAAAAACAGGCCAACTTTCTACAAGCAAAATCCTACTACACAGAAACCAGGAGCAATGGCAGAGGCTGAGAATAATACAAACACTCCGCGTCGCTCTTCTGCAGTTGACAAGGTCTAGGAAGAAGAGAATGATTCCCACCATGCACCAGGACAAGCAAAGCCATTTCCAACTGAGCCTGGGAGGAAAAAGCAGCAACTTCTGTGAGTATCTGCTGAGAACTGCACTAGTTTGTTGGGGCCACCCTAACAGAGCAGCAGACACAGAAATCTGTTTTCTCACTATTATAGAGGCTGGAGGTCTGACATCAAGGTGACGGGCAGTGTCACTCTCTTCTGAGGCCTCTCCTTTCAGCCAGTGCTTGGCCATCTTCTCCCGGTGTCTGCAAATGGCCTTTCCTCCCTGTGTCTCTATTCCAATCTCTTCTTATAAGGATGTCATCACATTGCATTAGGGTCCCTCTAGTGGCCTTATTTTAAGTTAATGATCTCTTTAAATAGTTATATCCTGGGACACTGGGGGTTTAGGGTTTCAACATATTTTTTTTAGAAGATTTATTTCATTTATTTGAAAGACAGAATTACAGAGAGAGGTAGAGACAGAGAGAGAGGTCTTCCATCCACTGGTTCACTCCCCAGATGACCGCAATGGCTGGAGTTGTGCCGATCTGAAGCCAGGAGCCAGGAGCTTCTTCTGGATCTCCCATGTGGGTGTAAGGGCCCAGGGACTTGGTCCATCTTCTACTACTTTCCCAGGCCATAGCAGAGAGCTTGACTGGAAGAGGAGCAGCTGGGACTAGAATCGGCGCCCATATGGGATGCTGGTGCTTCAGGCCAGGATGTTAACCCACTGCGCCACAGTGCCAGCCCCTCAACATAGGTTTTGAGTTGACACAATTCAACCCATAACAAAAACGTGCCAGATGCCAGGCACTGTACCAACAGAATAGTGTTAAAAACCTGAAAAAGCACAAGCAGTGAACTTTCTTGGCTTTAAGAGGTATGGAAGTGGCAAAGGGGGCTCCAGGACTGACTCACACTTCAAAGGGGAAGCTGTTGCACCTGCTATGACAGACCTCTGCCAGAAGGGTCCCCCGAGAATGTGTTGGTCAAGGACATGCTCAGGTACCTGCAGCCCTCCAGGTTGGCCAGCCTGGGCTCAACTTCCCGGTCAGTCTACTGCTAGATGATGTTTCCACATTTCTGTTGGTTCTAAATTCTCTTGGGAAGTGCTGGATAACTGGGTTTGTATTTAGCCATTAAAAAAATTATATGCTGGGGCCAGCGCTGTGGTGCAGAGGGTTAATGCCCTGGCCTGAAGTGCTAGTATCCCATATGGATGCCGGTTCGAGACCTGGCTGCTCCACTTCCGATCTAGCTCTCTGCTATGGCCTGGGAAAGCAGTAGAAGATGGCCCAAGTCCTTGGGCCCCTGCACCCATGTGTGAGACCCAGAAGAAGCTCCTGGCTCCTGGCTCTAGACTGGCGCAGCTCCGGCTGTTACGGCCAATTGGGGAGTGAACCATCGATGGAAGACCTCCCTCTCTCTTTCTCTGCCTCTCCTCTCTCTGTGTAACTCTGAATTTCAAATAAATAAATAAATCTTTAAAAAATTATATCTTGTTCAAAAATGACCTTCCAAACTTCACCTCCAACTTGAGGTATTGTCTCTCCTTGAAAGGAAGTAAAGTGTCAACTGTACCACCCTTGTTTAGGGGATACAACACACCATTTTAACTTAGAAAGGAGAATTCTCTTCTAATTCACTATTGAAAAGGGAACATAATTAGTTGTGTATACTCACAGCTTCTGTTTCCATTCTCTCTGAAAATCTCAGAAGCTAAACGTTCATGGCTCTCAGCTCAGTCCCTTCTATCTCCAGGCATCACTGAGTATGCACAGTTTTTCCATCAGACACCTCTCGATTTTCATCTAAGAAGATGAAGTTTATTACTGTATCTTGTAACTGCATACAGAAGATCTCACTCAACTCTCACCTAGATGGGAAAACCACTCAGTATACAGCACACTGGAAGGAAGGATGGATTAAATTGGTTTGGCCTCACTAGGGGAAAAATCTGCTGATCCAGGAAGAGATGGTTAGAGAAGGAAACTTAAACAGAAAAGAGGAGAACGCTAGACAAAAGTCAGACCCTAAAGGGACAAGAAGGAAACTGAAAGCTGATCCCAGGACAGCTGATGAAGGAGAGGGCAGCAGCTCAGGACTCCCACGGTGCCCCGGGGACAATTTTTGCCAAGATTCAGGCTGTGCCTACAGCACCACTTCAGTCTTCAGTATCCTGCAGAATATTTCCATATTCTCAGAGTACTCGACAACACCGCTTCCAAGCTTCTCCTCATATATATATATATATATATATATATATATATAATATATATATAAAATATATAAATATATAAAATATATATATTTTATTTGACAGATAGAGTTAGACAGTGAGAGAGAGAGAGAGAGAGAAAGGTCTTCCTACCATTGGTTCACTCCCCAAATGGCTGCCATGGCCAGCGCTGTGTGGATCCGAAGCCAGGAGCCAGGTGCTTCCTCCTGGTCTCCCATGCAGGTGCAGGGGCCCAAGCACTTGGGCCATCCTCCACTGCCTTCCCTGGCCACAGTAGAGAGCTGGACTGGAAGAGGAGCAACCAGGACTAGACCCCGGTGCCCATATGGGATGCCAGTGACGCAGGCCGAGGATTAACCAAGTGAGCCATGGCACCAGCCCCTCTCCTCTTAAATATTTGATAGTGTCAGATTTCCATTGTCAGGTTGTCCCTACCAGTTCAACTTGTTCACAAGTCCCTATCTTCCTTTCCTTCTGTGATCTGTACCCTTTGCTTCAATACTTTTACTCTAGGTCCCAGTCACAAGTGCCATTCCAAGACTTAGTAATACCAGAACATTGTAGCTCTGTCACCCTGTTCAGTTGCAAACCTACTGTATTCCTATTCTTTGTGCAGCCAACTTCCATACAAATATAAAATTCTTAAGCACTCATTCCAATTACTTTGGCTAAGAATTATCAGTTATTTCCTAGGCTTCATTTCTTTTCCTTGTCCCCTCATTGATTTTCACAATAACAGGCTTTATACTTTTATCTGAGCCTTGTCTTATTCCTCTCTCAATTATCTCTGCTTCTAGTTTTTGTGACTCATCTGCTGCCCCAGGCCCTCTGACACCTGACCCCTGAGTCAAACCCTGCTGTTCCTATGATTCTCTGTGATTCACCGAGCCTGGGGTTTGTCAACACTGAAAGCACAGGATGGACTCCACCCACCGCAGCCACTCCTCCTCTCACCCAGGAAACTGCTTACCTTCTCACACAGGGAAAGGCTGTAGTAAGAACATCAGAATACCAGTATTCAGAGTTTCTTGCTTGGAAATACATTTTACATGAATGAACAAAAATACAGTGAAACATCTGAAGCTCCTAGACCATATGCAGAGACTTCTCTATCAGATATATGTTGTTTGCAGCACAATTTATTATCAGGTTGTAGGATTTGGGCACACTGATAGGTACTGATTTTATACCATGTGACCTCTCTTGAGACAGCGAAAGCCCAAAAGCAAACATCAAAATATGCAAGAGCAATAAATATCAAACTTTCTGATCTAAAAGGTATAAATATAAAATAGCAGTCATTTCTGGAAACATCTTAAGAAAATCCAGCAACCACATGTCCATGGGCAGGAGGAGTAGGGTGCTGATGGTGCTTATGTTCAGAACGTATCACCTCAGATCCAACACAATTATTTTGATGTCCTTTACCAGCACATGTTTGCATATCTAGGAAAGAAAAAAAAATGGTTTTACATAATAGTTTAAATATGATTCTCTTTAGGGAGGGAGCGTAGATTTCCTATTATATATTTTTTCTAATTTTAAACAGATTTCTAACCAGCACAAGTGTAGTCAACCTTTATTCATTTTCATTTTTTTTTAAGATTTATTTTATTTATTTGAAAGTCAGAGTTACACAGAGAGATAGAGCCAGAGAGAGAGAGAGGTCTCTCATCTACTGCTTCACTCCTGAAATGGCCACAACTGCTAGAGCTGAGCAGATCTGAAGCCAGGAGCCAGGAGCTTCTTCCAGGTCTCCCACATGGGTACAGGGGCCCAAGAACTTGGGCCATCTTCTATTGCTTTCCCAGGCCATAGCAAAGCACTGGATTGGAAATGGAGTGGCCGGGACTTGAACCAGCGCCCTCACGGGACTTTAACCCAATGTACCAGTGCCAACCCCCTTTATTCGTTTTCTTTTCTTTCTAAACTTTTTTTTTTTTTTTTTTGATTTGCAGGGAGACAGGCAGAGTGGACAGTGAGAGAGAGAGACAAAGAGAAAGGTCTCTTCCTTTGCCGTTGGTTCACCCTCCAATGGCCGCCACAGCCGGTGCGCTGCAGCTGGTGCACCGCGCTGATCCGATGACAGGAGCCAGGTGCTTATCCTGGTCTCCCATGGGGTGCAGGGCCCAAGCACTTGGGCCATCCTCCACTGCACTCCCTGGCCACAGCAGAGAGCTGGCCTGGAAGAGGGACAACTGGGACAGAATCCGGTGCCCCCACCAGGACTAGAACCCAGTGTGCCGGCGCCGCAAGGCGGAGGATTAGCCTAGTGAGCTGCGGCGCCGGCTTCCCTTTATTCATTTTCAACAAGAGAATACTTACTGAGGTTTCCAGGTAACTCCCATTTTAAATAAATTCTAACTTCAAAATATTAATGTTAAAGCCACAGAACCTCCAAGCAAACAGAAAAGGTATAGTTAGGGGCCAGCATTGTGACTCAATGGTTTAAGTCACTGCCTGCAATGCCAGCACTCCATATGAGTGATGGTTCTTCTGGCTGCTCAACTTCTCAGCCAGCTCCCCGCTAATCCTTCTGAAAAGAAAGCAGAAGATACCCAAGTGCTTGGGTGCCTGCCAACCATATGGGAGATCTGGATGGAGTTCCAGGATCCTGGCTTTGGCTTGGCTCTACCCCAGCCATTATAGCTATTTAGGAGTTGAACCAGTGGATGGAAGAACACACATATATACTCTCTCTGTGTAACTCTTTCAAATAAATAAATATTTTTAAAAATGTGGTTAAATGTTTCATTTGGGCTATCAAAACTAATCAAAAAGTATGATTTCAGTTTTCATTGAATCTTTATGAAAAATTAATTCTACTACATCAAGCACAAAGAATTCATGAGATATTCGTTATCATTTTCTCTAATAATTATTTGCTTCTTTGGGCTCTGTAGAAAACTTCAGTACCATATAACTATGTAAGGAGAAAGGTAACTTTATGCACAATCAACTTTACTACAGAAATACTGACATTTCCTTTGAAGTAAAATACTAGTGAGAATGCAGATACTACTCACAAAGAGTTATTAATTTCCTGAGAGTAAAACCCCATGTCAGACTGCTCCTCCTATAAAAGGGAGGGAGGCAGTAAAAAATAAGTATCTACAAGAATAAGTAGCTCTGTCTACTCACACTGAACAGCCTGGGGTCCTTGGTGTGTGGATGAAAGCCCTTCTTTTTACAAGCAGAAACCTCAAGCATGCCAGCATTGGTGAGCCTGAAGATGCCAGTGCTGCATTGCAGGGAGAAAGAAGGTGGAGAAATTAAGGGTCACCTGGGCTTCCCAGTGTACACATTCCTCAAATGGGATCAAGAATTCATAAACTAGGGCCTCACAGTGATTTTTATTAAAAACCAATCTTTTGATGACAGGTCTGGAAGACAGAAACCCAAAAGGAAGCATCATCTTGTCTCCAAGCACCTGCAGGACCATAGTAGGAAGGAGGCAGCTGAGCTATCATTGACGGACCACAGAGGAGGGGTTGAGACCCCCAGGGGAAATGACATAATTATTTCTAATTTTTCCAATAATGTCAATACTGTGTATAGCAACTGCAAATGTTTACTGAGTGCTTGCTGTGGTGCCAGGCCCTATGCTAAGCACTTATGTTATCTAACTTAATGTTCACATCAACCCAAGATGGACAGGTGTCAAGGAAGAGGATGCTGAGGATCGCAGTGGTCAAAGCATGAAGGTATATATGGCCGCTGGCACCACCCCTCTCCTTTTCTCAAGGACATCCTGTGCCTGCTGACCCAAGTGCTACAACCCAGTATATGGATGGGCGCTCATGAACCCTGCAAGGCTCATGAAGCCTTCCTTGGACCACCCTCCCCCAACCAACACCACCAACAGCTACACTTACTCATTATGCTTTGGTGAACAGACGATGGCAATAGCCTCTGGCAACATAAGCTGATAGGAACAGTGAGTGTGAAGATCAACGCTGGATAAGAATGCAGTTTGGGTGGGATGTGTCTACAGAGAGAAAAGCGCACACTCTTACTAGGGTAGCTGAGACTTAGCCAAGGACACAGTTCATTTTAAGACAAACGCCTATTTGTTTTTTTTTTCTTTTACCATCACTCATCATGGTTAAATAATGATTTAAAAAAATATTTTGCTGCCATATTCCTTCCCTTTATGCATTTCCATTTGCGTCTTTGAATAACTATGACTGGAGAAGAGGTTCCTAGAAGCTTCACTGTACTTTCTTCTTGTTGCAAAATAAAGAACCGGAAACTGATTTGCCACAGACTTTAAACAGATGTTCATTTAATCATAACAACACATCTATGTGATACTAAGTTTATGATCTCAGCTTTACATCCAAGGATGCATGGTCAGACAGCTGATAAGGAGCAGAGGTCTGATTTGAAACCTGGAATGGAGATACCCATATACAAAACCATAGACAGGAAAATCAAGTTGTCACTAAATACATCACATCATTGCGTACCCTTCTGTGGACTGTCATTCATCATAAATGGGAAAAAACGAGTCTCTTGAGTTGTTGAAGGTGTGTGGAACTCATCTTGCACAGTAACTAAATGATCACATGCTGAGCAAGATTGGGGAGATTATCAATGAAATGAAATCTTTCAAGTTTCTGGCTACATACAACCTTGTTTAGGAGAGGTAAATTAGAAGTTCAAATTGAACAAGAAAACTGCATGCATATAGAGTGAATTAAAAATTCACATTAAACCTTAAATGGCGATGTGGCTGTTTTAACCATGAAACAAAGATCATTGTTACAGTCTGGATCCCAGCTCCATTACTCACTAGTTATGTGACATTGAAATTATTTAACATTTTCTTGCCCATTTCATTGTTTGTAAAACAGGCATAATAATCATTTTCTTCATGGGATTGTTAAGAAGATTAAATGGGACAATTCATGCAAAATTCTCAGAACAGCACCTAAGGAATCAGTCATTAGCTGTTTTTCTTGCTGTTGTTATTTTACTATTATCATTATTAACTAAAAGGCATAACAGGAAAATGCCTTTACACACATTTGTGGTTGTTGGAGAAATGTAACTGGTTTCTAGTTCCTTTAACAGAACAAAGCCAACATTAGCTGATTACTTACAGAAAGACATATGTTCTGCTATGAAAAAATAATTCTTGGTCTATAAAGACTTACATCAACAGAAGAATGGAAATTATCCTAACTTTGAAAGCCCAAATCTTTAGTAGGGGTGCAGGTAGAAGTGTCTGACAGCCTGTTGTCTCTCACAGAATATACACTCTTAGTAAAACAGAGCTTTCCATGTCTTGCTGAGAACGTACATTTTCAAAGGAACCACAGTACTGTGGAGGCAGCAAGCAGGTTGTCAAATAGACAAATCTCTCTGCTGTCAATTTATTGCAGACTGAATGCACACTGCATGATCTGAGCCTTGCATTTCTACCAAGAGAAATCACTTCCATTCTGATGAGGATAGCTTTCTGGCACTCCTCACTCCGGAAATAACGACGACGATGATGATGATGACGACGATGACGACGACGACGACGACAACAACGTTAGATACCACTGACTGCAACTGAATAATGGATCAGACACTGAACTAAATCACTTTATGTGAATTTTATCATTGAAGTCTCACAACAACAAGATGACCTTGGAGGTATTACACCCTCATCTACAGATGAGAAAACGCAAGTAGGCAGGAAGGAGAGTAAGTCATTTGCTGAAGCTCATACAGCAAGTCACACCAAGAAGCTTAAATTCAAATCCAGGTCTCTGATTTGATTCAGATCTTCTTCCCTATGATTAACTCAACTCTAAATGTAGCAGCTCTGGAATTCGTTGCTATTATTATGCTCAATTAAAAAATCACCTCTAAAACTCATTATAACCATTGAAATGTTAAGCTTGTTTTATTTTCATTGAATCATAACAATTTTATACAATGAAGTAAATTCAGCAGAAAGCAAGTCCTGGGATTCTAAAATTATGTCAAAATTGTTATTTAAATAAATTCATTATTTCATGCATTTTATATACAGAAGGTCATTAAGGAAAACTAGTTTCTAATTTGGGAAATGTTTTATAAGATAAAGTAACACTGACTTATCAAGCAGCTGTGTAATTTCCAGAGCTGTCATTCTTAGTTTATGTTACCACATCTTTGATATAATTTGTTTTGCTTTAAAAGATATTCTTGTGGGGCCGGTATTGTGGCAGAATAAGCTGCTACCTGCAATACCAGCATCCCATATAGGTGCCAGTTTGAGTCCCGGTTGCTCCACTTCTGATCCAGTTCCTTGCTATTGTGCCTGGGAAAGCAGTGCAGGATGGCCCTTAGGTCCCTGCCAACCATGTGGGAAACCCAGATGGAGTTTCAGGCTTCTGGCTTTGGCCTGGCCCACCCTAGGGCTATTGCAGCCATCTAGGGAATGAACCAGCTGATGGAAGATATTTGTCTCTCTTTCTCTCCCTCTCTCTCTAATTCTACCTTTCAAAAAAATAAAGTAAATCTTTTTAAAACATATATTCTTGTTACAGGTCCCATGTTAAGCTAAATAATGCCTTTAACATACAGCAATTTTGAAACATACAGTAAGGCATATTATTTACTGTTAGGTAAAGCAAATATTCATATCAATAGTTTAGAAAACTTCATTATACATGTAAATAATTTTTTGCATTTGAGAGGCAGTTTATACTTTTCAAAGGGCTTTCACACTTGTTATCTTGTTTACTGCTCACAAATCCTGGGAGGAGGGAAGACATTCATTAGCCTCACTCAGTGAGGTAAAATGAAAACAAGGTTAGGAATCCCAAGAGCACAATACTCTTAAAATACATGATACCAAATGCTGTGTGTGTGTGTGTGTGTGTGCACTCTGCTTCTATCCAATGCTTCTCCATTAAGCATTTATCATTCTCTGGGAGCTCTCAGAGTCCCCAGCATACGCCCTGAAAATCCTGGCCTGCATCCCATGTGGGATGACATCAATATTTGCTATGGCGTGTCAGTGTTACCTCCAAAATTCATGTTGATGTATGCTCCACAATGTTACAGTATTTAGAGGTATGGCATTTCAGTGGTAATTAAACTGTGAGAGCTCCACCCCATGAATGGGATTAGTACTCTTATAAAAGAGCTCAAGGTTAAAGGGGGTGCATGCCCTCTTGCCTCTCTGCCTTCTGCCAGGTAAAACACAGCAACACAGCACCATTTTGGAAGCAGAGAGCAACCCTCACTGGATACCAATCCCATTGCTGGCATCTTTGACTTACCAACTCCAGAAGAGTAAGAAATACATTTCCATTCTTTACTACATTATCTAATGTCAGATATTTTATTAAAGAAGCACAAATGGGCCGACATCAACCTGGGTCCAACTGTATGAGATCAAATAGAAAATGTGTGCCCCAGATAGACTGAACCATTATAGGAAAAGTAGACCTTCATCACTAACAACAAAGCTGCAACTTTCCCGAGTCCCTAGAAAAACGGGTTAAGAAATTTGAACCTATCTCATTTAACATTCACTATCATAAGAAGTCTATTATTACAGTTCTCACTTCCTAGATGATAAAGTTGATGTTCAGTTTAATTTTAAATCTTGTTAATGTTCCTACAGCAAATTCTTGGCCTAGCCAAGAGGTAAACTGGTGTCTGACTTGTAAGCCCTTTTCTGCCCCTGTGATGTGTTGTTGGAACCAACTCTTTTTTTTTTTATTTGAAAGATGGAGTTACAGAGAGAGGTAGAGACAGAGAGAGGTCTTCCATCCACTGGTTCACTCCCCAGATGGCCACAATGGCCGGAGCTGCACCGATCCAAAGACAGGAGCCAGGAGCTTCCTCCGGGTATCCCACGTGGGTGCAGAGGCCCAAGGACTTGGGCCATCTCCCACTGCTATCCCAGGCCATAGCTGAGAGCTGGATTGGAAGAAGAGCAGCCAGGACGAGAACCAGGGTCCATATGGGATGCCGGCACTTCAGGCCAGGGCTTTAACCCGTTGCCCCACAGCACCAGCTGGAACCAACTCTGTAGCGCTATCCCATTCCCCTACATTGCTACCTTTTATGCAATGATATATGTATAATCTTTGGCCTTCAGGGGTGAAGCAGGTTATGTATGCTATTAGTATACACAGACAGCTGTTTAAAAGAAACACCTTAAGGGGCAGCACTGTGATGCGGCTGGTTAAGCTGCCACTTGTGATACTAGATCCCGTATCCAAGTGCTGGTGCAAGTTCCAGTTGCTCTGTTTGTGATCAGCTTCCTTCTATGTGCCTGGGAAAGCAGCAGAAGGTGGCCCAAGTGCACGTACACCAGCTCCTGCCACCCAAGTGAGAAACCAGGGTGGAGTTCCTGGCTCCTGGCCTCGTCCAGATCTGGTTGTTGAAGGTATTTGGGGAGTGAACCAGAAGATAGGAAATCTCTCTCAATTTCTGTCTTTCCATCTCTCTCCCTCTCTCTGTCACTTCACCTTTCAAATAAATAAAATTTAAAAAAAGAAACATCTTCAGAAATTTCTTTAAAAATCTTAATTAGACTTACAGTAAAGGGAAAGAGGACCTTAATATAGTAAAATCAGTAACATCTGTCCAAGCCTCCAGCAGACTATGTAAAATCATCCACATAATTTTCAAATGCTTCTCTTAGCTTTGTATGGTACTAAGAAAGCATAAGATATGCCTCTACAAACTCAAATCTGTCCGATTTAGACACTGCCTAACATTGAAGTAAATGCTTTAATGTGATTACACTTAGGACACTTGAAAAAGTTAAAAACAAGAAATTATTTAAAGTAAGCTAAATTTCTTCAAAGAGGAAAAAAGCACATGTACAAAAATCACCTGAAACCCAAAAGGTCAAACGTACATGGATCCATCCCAGAGTGAGAAGGTCGTACTGATCCTGAACACTGAATAATTCTTCGACATTCTCCATGTCGCAATAGTCTGGCCCTGCAGACTGCTTTGGCACAATTACATGTGTAATCGTAAATTCATTATGTGTCTAAAAACAAACAGCAGAAAGAACAGGAAACATACAACAGGGGGGAAAAATGAAGTTCAATGTTTTACTACAAGACTGACAGTAGCCCAACCACACTCATTATCATCACTCCCCACCCCCACACACACCCATCACAGTTCAATATCATTTTATTCAACACTAACATCTCAAATATAAAAAGGTATTATTTGTCAAATATTTGAGAATCAATTGTTTGGAGCTTGAAACCTATCTTGCAAAAGAAATCCAATCATAAATAGGAATTAGAATCTGTAGGGGGAGAGATGGAACTTTAGTTAACAAATAAAGCCATGACATATTAGATCTATAATGGAAAAGAGGCGAACGAAACCGCAGCCATTGCTTGGGAAGGAGAGAGAGTCATTAAATAATTCTGTGGTGAGGCCAGCGATGTGGCACAGTAGGTTAAGCCTTCGGCTGTGGAACCAACATCCCATATAGGTGCTAGTTTGTCCTGGCTGCTCCACTTCCGATCCAGCTCCCTGCAAATGGCCTGGGAAAGCAGCAGAAGACAGCTCAAGTGCTTGGGCCCCTGCACCCACATGGGAGACCTGGAAGAATCTCCTGGCTCCTGGCTTCGGAATGGCCCAGCTCCGGCCATTGCAGCCATCTGGGGAGTGAACTAGTGGATGGAAGATCTCTGTCTCTCCCTCTCTCTGCCTATAACTCTGCCTCTCAAATAAATAAATAAATAAATAAATAACACTTTTTTAAAAAAAATTGTGTGGTGCTACTGAAGGGCATCTGTAAGGGTTGTGGAGGTTGATGATCTTGTTTTCATTAATTATATTTAATTTCACTTCAACTCTTAATTAACTTTCTTCTAATATGAGAAGAATTCACTAGGCTCTTCCACAATGCAGATAATGTTTAGTGTCTGCAACCAGATAGAGAAAGGAAAATCAAATTACTCCACTGACATAAAAGATAAGAACTGAAGGGAAGAGGACTGTAAAGTGATCTTCAGTGAGAGGTTAGGGTGAAGCAGTCTTCCCCCAGGACAGGCTCACCTTGCCCGCCCTGCCCCACACCATCCTCTCTCCAGCCCCAGGGACTTCCTGAAAACAGGGCACTGCTCCCTATGCCTCGAGGGCAACTCTTCCTTCCACCCTCCTCTCTTTCAGGCTGCTTTATGTGTTCTTCAGGCCTAACTTAAACACCAGTTCTCAGGGAACTTCTGGCCCCTTCTAGCCCCCACCCTCAGACCTGGTTAGGCTTCCCAGTTACACATTCCCATGATACCTTGTACTTCCAGTGAGAGCACTCAGATAAACTTACAATTAACCTGTCTGGTTCTGGAAAAGACAAGCACCAGGTAAGCACCATCTGGCAAGGACTAGGGCTGTTGCAGGCGACGGAATGCCAACACCCAGCACAGTGCCCACGCATGCTCAGTGAATGCTTGTCTGATGAATAACGGGATCAGACTAAATCTGCCCTATGAGGTGGGGGAGGAAGCGTCAACAGCACACTGACTCCTGTAGGGCATTGAAGGTGACTGAAGGGGGAACCATTTTCCTACACCTGTCACCTCTCTCTTGAAGGGGAGATGGTGATGAAATGCTGGAATACAACAGCAGGTGTAATGAATAAAACATATTGTTCAAGCTAAATGTTGAGGACTGAAAATGTGCCTGGACTCTGAAAAACAGATACCCAAAAAGACTTGAGAGGGCACCTCCAAAGAAACACAGTCATCTGCTTCAGGGAGGAAATTGCATGAATCTTCTGCCTTTGACCTCTATCTTTCATACTACACTTCTGATGTCATCTTCCATAATTAACTGTGATCTGTGCTTACAGATTTTAGTTTACTGAGATATTGCTTTACCCTAAAGAAAACAACAAAACCCTAGTTTTATTGCATGGGATATCTGAAAAAGGATGGTAAGATGATACTTGTCACAGGTAAAAATAGGCAGGAAGTTAGTTATAGGAATGTCTGTGAAACTAACAATTACAACAGCACTTGATTTAACACAACAGAGGGATTTAAAAAGAAGATCTGTAATTTACCATTTTTCTAAACAAAGATGTAATCTATTGTTTGATTGACTCTTTAAAACAAATTTTTATAATGTCCTTGAAATTTTGCAAATCCCTTTTAGAGGAATAATTCTGTTCATTGTGACCATAATTTTATTAATCTATGTAAAATTAATTTCAGGATATTTGTAACTCTCAGCATGCTTTTCTTCCACTTGGTCTATCACAAGAAAGCTAATGCTCTTAAGACAGATGAAAAGGCCCATACCAGCTTTCCACAGAGGATGCCGCAGGTTTCTATGCCTCGCATGGTATTGGATTCTGCCAGCTGCAGAAATTTATGGCAAAGATCTCTTGATAAAACTACACATCGCAGCCCTTCAACGACTAAATCTAAGAAACAGAGAAAGGAGAAGACAGAAAATAAACTTTATAGCCTCTCTATAAAAACTGTTTTCAGCAGGCAATTGCAGTTAGATATAAATTCTTAACATGAAATCATAAAGAGGATAAAAACACATTTTGTGGAGTGGGAGTCTGATGCAGCAGTTAGGACACCTGTGTCCTGTATCAGGGTGCCTGGGTTCAAGCACCGGCTCTGGCTTCTGATTCCAGCTTCCTGCTAATGCACACCCTGGGAGGCAGCAGGTGAAGGCTTAAGTACCTGGGTCCCTGCCATCCACATGTGAGACCTGGAATGAATTCCTGGCTCCTGCTTTGGTCTGGCTCAAGCATGGCTACTGCAGGCATTTAGGGAATGATCCAGCCCATCAGAGCTCTCTGTGTGTTTCTTTTCCGCTCAAATAAACTAAATAAATAATTTTTCAAAAATATATTTTGTACAATTATTTCATAAAGAAACTAGAAAATGCAAGCATGCTTATGTTTGTACCTTGCATCAACTATTTACATGTGTGTGTATGCTTTCTTTTGTCATGAAGCAAATATACTCTTAAATATATAGGCTTACAGAATGCATTTCATATCCAGGAAAACATGGGGTATTCTTTATTGATTCTACCATTGTTACTTTTATCATTATGAAAGTCGGTGGCCAGCATATAAAAGCACAAAAGTTTTTGGAAATAAGAAGTAACTTATAAAATGGCTACTCAATGTAACTGTTTTAAAATAAATGAGAACACAAATTCCATCTGACAGTGTCTGGCAGGAATAAACCCCTTTTTGATCTAAGAAACTTACCAGCACTAATCCAGCAACAACACTGAGGAGCATAACTAGTGTATAAGATTCTCTCAGTCCAAGATAACGCTAAATACACTGAGCATAAACCTTTTATTGCTGGGCAAAGGTCTGGACAATTTTCTCAACATCTCTCAGCTCCAGGGTAAGTATTCACCTTTAAGATCTACGTGTTTCTTGGTTAAAACACATGTAAGAAGAGCAAAGTAAAGTTGCTTGGCATTCTTCTCATTCAAAATCTCTATTGAGTGACAAAATACAGTTCTATTTATTATAGGGTCTCTGCACTAGCAGAGACAAATCATACTTCCTGAATGTTAAGGTTGTATGAAGGGATTCAAAATGTTCATGGAAAAATGCAATTAAAAGTATGAGTTAGGATGGACACTAGGTAGAGTAGTGAAGTCACCACTTGAGATGCCAGCATCATTATGGCAGAGTGCCTGGCTCAAGTCTCAACTACTCCACTTCCAATCAGTGTCCTGCTAATGTGCAGCCTAGGAGGCAGCAGATGATGGATGAAATACTTGGATCTCTGCCACCCACATGAGAACCCTGGACTGAGTTCTGGGCTCCCAGCTTTGGCCTGGTCCAGTTCTGGCTGTTCTGGGCATTTGGAAAGGGAGCCAGAAGATGGAAAAATCTCTCTCTCTCTTTCTCTTCTTTCTCTTTTCTGCCTTTCAAATCAAACAAGAAATGTTGAGCGTATTCTATGCAGAAAATTGACATAAAAGTATAGTTTTTCAAAATATGTTTTTTTCCATGTATTATGAAAAAAATTGCCCCAAAATAAACCTCGTGGGGTGCCTTCATTTACAGTTATAGCCAGAGTCCAGGAAGGGTAGCTCTGCGGTTCACACCATGTGTAAGGCAGGGGTCTTCAACAGTTAACAATGGAATGAGGAAAGCTGTGATGCTACAGAAAGACCCTCCCATCAGATGGGCCAGAGTCCTGCAGGGGTGCATGCCATCACTTACTCTGCACGGCACTTAGAGTAGCAGCTGGCTTTAAGGCCCGGTTCACTGGAGGAGAGTGGCTAGCAATACTGGTTGCATCGCTTTTATTCGGCTGATCTGCAAATATGTTCAGCAAGGAATTGTTCTGGTGCGTGGAAAAGCAGGACAAAGCACTCCCATCAATCTGCTCTGACAGCGCCGGGCTCTCCTGGCTTCGCATCTGACCCCGGGCTAACTCTTGCTTCTTGAGCTGATCTTCAAAAAACAGAAACTGCTCCGATTCCAGCTGCTGCTGGCGCATCTGAGCAATCCGCTTCCTCTCCGCCTCTATCAATCTCTGATGCTCCAGTTTTTTGAGAATTTCAGCTTTGTATTTGTTCTAAAAAATGTGATTGCCAGAAGAAAAGGTTAGTTTCCAAGGCAAACATGTCAAACTGGAATCAGATACTTTCAGTCTTCCAGCAGACAGACGGACAGATACTGCAATACGCCCACAGGGACACTCATCAAACAGCATGGAAAATACACAGCACTGCAGCAAAACACCCTTCATCTGATTAAGACAGCAGTTCCAAGTCTCCCCATGTTAAACCAGAGAAAGACAGGGCAGTCAGGTTCCCTCCATTCCTCCTGCATTTCTAAATGTTAGAAAATCACAGTCAGAGTGGCTGACCAGACCACATGGATCAAACTATCTCACCTGCCCACTACACCGTCCAATACAGTAGCCACATGTGGCTGTTTACATTTAGATGAATTAAAATTAAATAAAATCAGATGTTCAGTTCCTCAACCAGTACTTACATGTAGCAATGCTGCTATATTGGAAAGGGCCACATGGAACATTTCTATCATGATGGGAATTTCTATTGGACAGTGCTGCCCTAGAACCTTTTGTATTTTGACTCTAGAACTCAGACTCTATTGGAACTTGATGGAGAAGGGGAAATCACCAAGAAATGGTTCTCCAAATGTGTTCCAACCATCTCTTTCCTGACCAGCCATCCCCTAACTAGTCGATCCCAAGCTTCCCAGTCCTAACAAGATATCCAGGTATTATGAGGAGAGTGGATATAAAATTTTCCTAAGCTCCCCAAAGATCCCTACTGAAAAGTGGGGTGGTGTAGGTGACACAGTTTGCAGCAGCACGTTTGCAAACACAGGAATCATCCCGGGGTTCTGTTAACAGTTGCAAATTCTGACTTCACAGGTCTGCAGTGGGCTCTCGGCTCCTGCAACAACTTCCATACAACGCCGGTGCTGTCCGCAGTAAGGCTTTCAGGCACCTCTGCTCCTCTCTTCCAGGCATTGTGGCTGCCACGGAGCTCTCTACAGAGGATGCAGCAGACATAGCCTGCAGCAGCTGCTGAGGCTGTTATCCCAGAGAGATCCAGAAGGGGGAGAAAGAAGAGGAAGGGAAACCTGAGCAGGTTTTTTTCTCCCTAACTTTGCCTTAGCCTCCAAGACCATTTTTATCACTCCCATTTCAGATCAACCCATTAATATGTACAATTTGGAGAAAACTTTGATTTTTATATTCCTTCTACCACCCAGTACAAAGCAACACTCAAAGCACTCTTACAGCTATGCCCAAAGAAAATCAAGAAGCTCGATGACCATTTTTAGAGCTCATGACATCGGACATAAATAAAAGTCAGTGAAAATGGAAACTTCAAATCAAATAAATGAACAGAATAGGCACAAAACAACATTTATAATGATGATATAAAATGAATAATTCACATTTTGACTTGAGTATTCCACAGATTAATTTCTTCTGTCAATTCCTTACTGTCTCTTAGACATCATTATCATCTTATTCTTTTTTAAACATTTTTTAAAAATATTTATTTATTTATTATTTGAAAGGCAGAGTTGCAGAGAGACAGAGGCAGAGACAGAAGTCTTCTATCTACTGTGTCACTCCCCTCTTCCCCTCTGTGGCTCTGACTTTCAAATAAATAAATAAAATATTTAAAAACATAACAAGTAAATCTTTTTTTAAAAAAGAGGAAAATTCACATTTTCAAAGCCTACATCAGAAATCATTCGGTGTTCCCTCTACCTCCTACTGTCTCCATTCATCTGGCAAAGAGCAGCCATCTGGCTCAAGGTTACATGAGCATGAATTGTTCAAAAAGTTCTATTTAAATCCCTATAGGAAGTCTATTTTCTAACACACTGCTTTATTGGATGTTGTAGGGAAATAAAAATACCACATCTTTGTTGCAAATACTTAACCTGGGTATGAACATGAATTTTTTATTCGTTTCATATCACTGCATCTTTAATTTTTAATTTAAATGCATAGACATTTGAGAAACTCATATAAAAATGAAATTCAAAAAATATTTGCACAGAAAACAGTCATGAAATAGGTATATCAATTGAACTTACTTTGCTTTGCAAATATTCTTGATATTCTACATTATATTTCTTTAAAAGGTCCTTTTTCAATTCATCTGTCCTTGGGAATGCAATCTCCTTCAGTTTCTTTTAAAGATATATATGTACAGATTGATTAGTGGGATTTTCAGTATACTCTTTCAGATCATCAGCTGAGAAAGAAAAACAGCTGGTATGCATATTAGAAATCAAGTCATGAGTAACCAAAGATGATGGCAGAAAGCAAACCTCCCTCTTCTCGAGGGCTCAAAATTACAACTTTTCAGTAGAGAAGGAAAAAAAAAAAAAACCCTTTTGTAGGACCCATGTTGACTGCACTGATGAGTTAAGCATTGTGTCTGGACAGGTCCCCCACATTTGGGTGGTAGGTTTGTAACTGCACACTATGTGGGACACCAACAACGCAGCCCTGGGTGAGAAGGAATATTAGAGGCTGTACAGTGGGGAAGGATTCCCAAAACGCTAGGCTGTGCACACAGTCAAGGCCTTCTTATAAAAGTGCAGATTCTCAGAGCTAGTCCCACATCTGCAGAGAACGAGTCAGGGGACCCAGCTCTCAAAAAACTCCCCCAGGGATTCTTAATGGCAGGAAAATCGGGGAAACTTGATTTGGTCCAACTACCACCATCCTCTTCAGAGGTGAGAACACAAAAGCCTATGCAGAGCCTGAGAGCCTTGCTAGCAGCATACACCTAACTGGTAGCCCCCTGAGGACAGAACCCATGTCACCTGCCTCTAGCCTGTGTCTTCCACCACATTCCTGTCATTCATTCCATCCATTCATTCAACAAGAATAAATGTGGGAAAGCCATATGCTTCAGAGAATTTTTGTCCTGTGCTAAAAATAAGAAATGCTCTAAATTATAGTAAAAGAGTCTCACTGGCAGTCAGGGCATAACTCTCTAAAGTTGAATGAACAAGAGAATTGAGGGAAAATGCCATACAAACACATAATGACTGTTGCTTCAACTAAGTGGACATAGAAATTTAAAAAATATAGATAACCAAGGTGAGAAAATCTTGAGTTTTATTTTCAGGAAGCCTTGGTCCTGGCAGGACTGGTAAGAGAGCTTCTATTTCACCATAGAATAAAATACTTTTCAAACATTCCTTAAAATCTCATGCTCTGATTGGCTTTATATATGCTGTTTCATCTTCCTTCGTGCAAAATCAACTGGAGCTGTTTAAGTCAAATAAATGGAAGCATTTTTTAAATTTGTTTAAAGGGACATATTCTCAGCTAGAGATGTCGGAGACTACCCAACAAATGCTGATGAAATAAATGCATCACAACAATCGCTCTTTTTCCTGCAAAGTATTCCAGGAAGATCACCCCCTCAACACCTTATCGATAAACCCAATACTCTAACAGGGTAGATAGCTAGAACTCTGCGGCTGCCTTAACAATCAACACTGATTCTCAATAGTTATAGAGCGGCAGGGGCTGTAAGGAGAATCAAAACCAAAGTGTCCACCTTCAGCAAGTGCAGAGAAACACACAGTTATTCTGTTCACCTCTGGAAGGAATGATAAACTGATTCCCCAGCACACCAAGGTGGCTGAGCACATTCCTAACAGCTTTCTTCCCCAACGCCCACACCCCCAGCATCAATTAGACACCCCATACTGGCTCAGTAGTGATCATTCCATGTCTAAGAAGAAATTGAAACACTGTGGCTAATGGAATGAGTTTCTTGTACTCAAACTCTCAAGAGGAAGAACTAGAGGTAAAAGGGAAGAAGGGTGAATCAATACTATGTACTTAGGAAGCACTGGATCCCACAGCAGGAATTCAACCCCACAATACCTTCATAATATCCTGCTTTTCCGGGACTGCACATTGCTGGTAATCTCGGTGGCTAGGAAGCTTTTCTACAAACAAGCTACAGAAAGGAAAAAAACCCATATCTTTAGCATTATTTGACAGCAAGCACTCAATGATAGTTTCTAATATAACAATGACTACCATTTTCAACAAAGACATGTTCAATACTGCATTATTTAACATAATCTTTATCTGCCTTCTCACTGAAAGTTGACACAAGAAGTATTATTTTGGCACTACAACACAGTTAAGCTCTGCAAACCTAAGTACTAAAGCTAGCAAGGTTAAGGTCAGGATATTTCCTAAACAAACCAAGTCACTGGTCTTTCTCAGGCCCTATGTGCTTAACCCACTCAGACAAAACCATTACCTTACTTAACATATGCTGCTATAACACGATAACAGAGATGACTCATAAAAGTATAAGAACTGAGAAAGACTGATGTGAACTCTTTCTCACCATTGCAAAAGGCTCAAATAACCACGAATGAATTCGCAGCACCACTCCACAGCTACCATCTATCAAAAACTGAATTCGCAGCACCACTCCACAGCTACCATCTATCAAAAACTTCTAACTGAAAATTTGTAATTAAGAGAAATGACACCCCTTCATCACACAGGGGATTCCAGAGGATCTGTAAAAAGCTTGAGCAAAAGGTAAAAAAGAAATGCGTGTATTATCAATTGCTAACTTGTAGTACAGAAACAAAACATTTTTTTAAACCTTGGCTATCAATGAGTACTACTTAATCTCCAATTTCATATTTATTGCTTAACTTTTTAGAAACAAAACAAAACAACAACAACAAAAAAAAAAAAAAAAAAACAAGCAGTTTTCCAAGGAAGGTGAAAGGTTGCTAACCATTTTAATCAACTTGGAAATTTGTATACTCAGTAAACCACTTTTAATTTTGTCCTTGGTAGAATCATGGAATGCAGATTTAACCCAAATGTTGTCAGCGTAAGCAACCAACTAAACTAGTGAAATTAGAAATGAAATAAGCCGAGCACAGAAAGACAAATACTACATGATCTCTTTTATAGGTAGAATCTAAGAAAGCTGAACTCACAGGGGCAGAGTGGAAAGGTGGGTGTCAGAGGCTGGGAGGGTGACTTGGAAGTGGGAGAGATGTTGGTCAAAAGAATCACAATTCCAGGCCTACAGAAGGACCAAGTTCAGGAGATCCAGTGTATAATATTGCAGTTATAGTTACAATGCAGTGTGCCACTGAAAACAGCTGAATTAACTTAAGTATCTCATTACAAAAAAAAAAGCACATGAAGTGATGAGTGTGCTAATTAGCTTTCGTTATCCCATAGTGAATACATATATCAAAAATTGTGTTGTATGTCATAAATACATACAATTTTTATTTTTAAAGAAATAAATTTTTAAATTAGCGAAGTTAATCAACCTGTGACTTTAAATCAAGGAAATAAAAGGTTTGGTTTAGATTAAATAATTATTGGCAACAGGAAAGCCTTCCAGTCAGAAATTTGCCAAATTGTTACAGCAAGTCCAAATTCCATTTCTGTTAACACTTAAACCAAGATATGTTACAAACACATAGCTCATGGGCACTGTGTTATTTCTATATGGTTACAATGATGTAATCCCTATCATTCTACATTTTTAAAAAAGATTTTCTTATGTATTTGAAAAACAGAGTTTGGGGGAAAGAGTGAGAGAGGGAGAGACAGAGAGAAACAGAGATCTTCCATCCATTGTTTCACTCCCAGGAACGTCAGCAGGGAGCAGGATGGCAAGTAGAGCACCCAGGACTCACACTGGCACTCCTATGGAATGCCAGTGTCACAGGGTGGCAGTTTCATCCACTGTGCCACAATGCTGGCCCCACTCACCATTCTGAAAGCTCTTTTCACTTAGTATTCTTACACAGCCAAATAAACTGTCTTTTGAAAAAAAGTACTGTATGAACCTGGGTAAGATATTACCTCTGTTCCCTAAATGGTCTCTAACAATCAAATCCAATTTGCAGCATTATCCAGATGCTACAAGGGAGCTGCAATATGGCTCCCGCTCTCAGGAAGCTTGCCCTCCTATGCAACGGGCACGCAAAAGAGAATTTGACTTGTAAAGAGCAAGACGTGCAGGATGCTGCACTGGCCTGTGGAGAGCGATCTGACATCTCTGCACCTCATCCCATCCCTCAGCCTCACAGATGGTCTCAGGATGCCTTTGGGCACATTAGTCAGTAATTTAAAAACCTGGACTTCTAATGCTTTAGGAAACTGTAAATTCATCTGCACATTAAAAATTCCCAATAAATGACCACAGCAAAATAAACATTTTCTAACTTTCCTCATCTCAAAGGTCTCCAAACCAACAACAAAAAAGACGTACGTTATAAATTTATTATAAAGAACAAAGGCATTTTCCAAGTTTCCTTCTTCCAAATACACAGATGCCATTCTCTCCATCTCCACTCCTGATCTGAAGTAGCGGCGTGGAGTGATGTCTTCACTGATGGTGATGTTGCAACCGAGCTTGCTTAGGGCACGCACTCGCTCTTCTGGGCTCAGGGAAACATCTGTGTGATCAGGCATAGCAGCTAGCTTCTTCTGCAAAGCAAAATTTAAATATCTGATTATAAGAAGAATATGACTGACATAATGGATGTACTTTTCTGTATAAAAGTCTGGCGCCAATACCTAAGGAAATCTTTCCATAAAGAGCTGAAGGCGGAGTAAAGTCTTTGTGCTTAAATATGTGGTCTCCACACCAACAGACACCAGCATCGGAAGCTCTAGGAAAGGAAGTAGCCCAGAGAAAACCTAAGTTTCCCCAGCCGTCCTCACGCAGCTGTTTTTAGATTTTGGGGTAGAATTCTGTGAAAGTTCAGTCGTTTTAGGTAAAATATGTTTGACCCCATGACTCCGTGAATGTTTCCATACTGGGTCATGTAAAGCAGGCCCCTGGATAGATTCCTGCCATGGCATAGCTCATGTCATTCCAATACGAAGGGTTTCCCAGAGGTAGCTTGGATTTAATGTTTCTGTAAGGATTCAACTCTGCTTCGGTATGTATCTAGTAAGAACTTCTCAGTGCCTCATTGCATCTCCATTGAGTGAAAACAAAACCCACCAATAAGCTCTGGAGAAGTCCTTCCAAGCATCCAAACACCTCCCCATATTTTTAAATAAACAGCGCTTAGACATTTGCACTTAATAGTGATTATGCTATAATTGGTGCTTGACTGAGAAAATGATGATATATCATTAACAAAAGTGATGTTAATACAAATGAATTTTATTAATAAAAAGAAATAACTGTACACATTTGGAAAAGCATAGAATATATGTATTCAGGACAATTATTCAATTAAAAGTCAGTGTTTCAGAAAGACAAGAAGAGCCAGAAAATTTTATCTATTAAGGGCCAGATAGCAAATATTTTAGGGTCTGTGGCACAACTTGAATTTAGCTCTACCACGGTTAAAAGCAGCCATAAACAATATGGAAAAATATTTCTTGCTGTGTCCCAAGCAAATGAGTTTATCTACGGGTTTATGGTTCACTGACACTAGGTTTAGATCATTAAGTCTCAAAGTATGGTCCCTGCACCAGGACCATCAGCAGCAACGGCGAGTTTCTTAAAAACTCCAAACCCTCACTGGCCTTGCTTCACGCCTACAGACTCAGGATCTCAGGAGGTGAGCTGAGAATTCATGTTTTTACAGGCAGAGTGGACAGTGAGAGAGAGAGACAGAGAGAAAGGTCTTCCTTTGCCGTTGGTTCACCCTCCAATGGCCACCGCGGCCAGTGCGCTGCGGCCGGTGCGCTGCGGCCGGCGCACCACGCTGATCTGATGGCAGGAGCCAGGTACTTATCCTGGTCTCCCATGGGGTGCAGGGCCCAAGGACTTGGGCCATCCTCCACTGTACTCCCTGGCCACAGCAGAGAGCTGGCCTGGAAGAGGGGCAACCAGGACAGAATCCGGAGCCCCAGCCGGGACTAGAACCTGGTGTGCCGGTGTGCCGGCACAAGGTGGAGGATTAGTCTAGTGAGCCGCGGCACCGGCTGAGAATTGATGTTTTTACTGCTGTTCCTGAGCTACTTACGCACACTCCAGTTAGAGAAGCTTTAGACCACTGCCATTCCTGATGCCCCAAGACTAGAGCAAACTTCGCTTGCTAAGCCCTCTTCAGGCAGATAACAACAGGACCCAAATCTGTCTACAATGGAGGCAGAACATTTGACTGAGGTCTGTTGAAAACTACGAAAGAAATCAAGGAGGACACGGTCTTAGTTTGACCATAAATTATTGAATCAACCTTCAGGGGCAGGGTGCAGGGAATTAGATACTTGAAATTTTCCCAATGCCATCTGGTCAACTTTGATAGACAGCCTATAGAAACCCAGAGATCTGAAAGGACTTTGGCTCCTAAAGGTTATTATATAACTAGAGAGCCATAAACTCATTTCTCAAGCTTCCATTAAGTCAGAGGCAGGCCACGCCTCTTGCACCTGCTGCAACTCCTTTGACCTGGCCAGAAGCCATATGGGCGAGTCCTCCTTCCCATTTTTCCCTCCTTAAAGAAGCTCTTGGGGCCTACACTTCCTTTCCCTGAAGGTCACCTGCTGTTCATTTTGAAACTGGTGGCTAAGATAGGTCAGAGGACAGCAGAAGAGATAAGAAGACTTTTTCAGCCTCCCATATTCTCTGGAGGACAGAAATTCCTGGTTCAAGCCACCAGGAGTAAAGGGCACACTTGATTTTGATCCTCACCTGTACCTTTGATCTGGCCTCACTTGGTCCAATGCTGAAAGAAAGATGTGACTGACAACAGCAGCAATACTCAGGCTCTTCCTAAGTGATTAAAGCACTTTTTTCCTATCTGTACCCCATCACACTGCTTTTCTAAGTCCCTGAACGACTTTCTGATTTCCGAGGTCAGAGTCAAGAATCAGTGCTTGTGAACTCTGAGCCCCAGGCTTGAGTATTCACAGTATTTTCCAATTAAGACATCTCAAACACACTTCAGCAATCCATCCCCTTTTCTGTAAGCACACTCACTATATACCAACAACACGTAAAGAAAATATTATTACTCAACTACAGATAATTGCCTGAGTCACATTAGAAGATGGTTAAAAAAAATTCCATGGAAACCAGAGCATTTTCCTAAGGGGCCTCCAGTCTCCTATAGGTACGAAAGTCGTCTGTCCATATTTTATTATGGATAGTCCACTTGGGTCCTCATGACTGCAATGCAAGTGTCTCAAACTTCTTAGGAACTCCTTGAGATGTCCAAAGAAATCCTTCTCTATTCCTTTGCGTTCCCCAGTATGTAGCATGTTACCTGTGACAGCAATAGCAGTCATTAAAAGCACCAAATGAAAGTTAAGAAGTGAAAGAGAGAACACAGCAACAAGTCTATAACTAGATGATCGTCTTTCCCCGAAGAAAAAATAAGATCGATTTTTCCTTTACTGAGTCCTTTCCAAATCTAAAACTGAGAGAAGCAGGAAATACCCTAAAGTCCTCATCAATCTACATTTCATTTGCATGTGAATTTCTTGGATGAAAGTACAAATTATTCAGATGAAAAAGCTTTGGTGTTCATTTCTGCAGCAACACGCGCAATACAATTTTAATTACACTCATATAACATTCTGGAAATAGCACCTAAGAAATCCCATGGGCCAGCACCGTGAATCACTAGGCTAATCCTCCGCCTGTGGCGCAGGCACACCGGGTTCTAGTCCCGGGCGGGGTGCCGGATTCTGTCCCGGTTGCCCCTCTTCCAGGCCAGCTCTCTACTGTGGCCAGGGAGTGCAGTGGAGGATGGTCCAGGTTTTTGGGCCCTGCACCTGCATGGGAGACCAGAAGCACCTGGCTCCTGGCTTCAGATCAGTGCGGTGCACTGGCCACAGCGCGCTGGCCGTGGTGGCCATTGGAGGGTGAACCAACGGTAAAAGGAAGACCTTTCTCTCTGTCTCTCTCTCTCACTGTCCACTCTGCCTGTCCAAAAAAAAAAAAAAAAAAAATCCCATAAGGGTAAGTCCTTCAGAGGTAGAAATAGGACATTCTTTAAGGCCCCACAGCAGAATGAGAACACGGAGTCAAGAAATAGAAAACTTCCTCCAAATCATTACTTCTCAAACATACACTGAAAACAACTGAGCTTCTACACAGCAATTTCTTGGTTGAGTGAAATTAGGTCACAACCTATTTCAACTCAAGAGCCAGGCCCTCTCTTTCTCTATGTCCAAGTGCTAGGCTTTGTACATATAGGGTGTTCAGTGCACTGCTCCACTCAGGCCTACTCTGACAGGGTTGCTGTGAGTGTGTTAGTGCAGGTCGTGTGCAGGAAGGGAATGACAGCTTCCATCATCAAACTACCACTACTAGGCTGGGAGCAAGAAAATTACTATCTTCAACTGCCATAAGGCAAATACAAAATTAAAGCCTTAGAGATTAAGCATTATGCCTGCATTCACAATTACAGAATGATATGGGATGCAGAAGAAGCCCAAGTGATCGAAGTCCCTGTTATTTCCTCTCCAACAAGTCTTTTTTAAAGATCTTGCTAGAGAAAGTGTACATTGTATTGGCCAATGAGGGTAAAAGTGAAAAGAATCAGTTTCTTTCTTTTTTTTTTTTTTTTTTTTGACAGGCAGAGTGGACAGTGAGAGAGACAAAGGTCTTCCTTTACTGATGTTTCACCCTCCAATGGCTGCTGCGACCAGCGCACCGCACTGATCCGAAGCCAGGAGCCAGGTGCTTCTCCTGCTCTCCCATGCAGGTGCAGGGCCCAAAGACTTGGGCCATCCTCCACTGCACTCCTGGGCCACAGCAGAGAGCTGGCCTGGAAGAGGGGCAACCGGGACAGAATCTGGTGCCCCGACTGGGACTAGAACCCGGTGTGCCGGTGCCACAGGTGTAGGATTAGCCTATTGAGCCGCGGCGCCGGCCTGGAATCAGTTTCACACATGAGACCATTTACATAAGGATCCCAAAGCAATACAGAGGTGTTAAATATGAAATGTCTTCCTCGGTTATTACCACACAAGGTAAGCCACCACTTTTCATCTGTAAAGAAGCTGGGGCACCAAGACGTTTAAGTATCTGTTAAGTTTATGAAGTCAACTTTAAATCTTCCCTCAGGTGTCTTTTCAAAGGTCTGTATTTCTGGAATCTGGCCAAATTAAAATGTCACATTTTTTTTAAATGTCACATGGTTTTGAGAAACATATTTTTCAGGTTTGCAAAGATGGCTTCCTCTGTCACATCTTCGAGGGAGACGACCACATGGGTGGATGGAAAACTGAGAAAGCGCTACACTTCTACAAGGTGTGTGACTCATTCCACAGCGGGTCTGTTTCTGTTCTTCCTTCTTGGCTTTCCAACCAAATGCAAAATATCAGTGGTGCAACCTACCAGAGAATTCACAGTAAATGGCTGGTCCATGTTGTCCTGTCTACAAAATGAAGACGTTCGCTCTTCCTTCTCAATCACTTCATCTGTTTCAAAGACAGAAAGCAAAGCTCAGGTTAGCTTTCCGGGAACCTAAGTCTCAAATCCCAAGTTCCAGGGTTACTTTTGCCTCAGAAACAAACATGAATGAACTCTAATCACTTACACAACCCAAGTATTTAGAATTGTTGGAAATCTCTTCCTGAAAATACAAATCTGCAGGCGGTTATGATTTTTTTGAAGCTAACCTTTAAAGGTGGATGTGAAAGGAATTAATATTTTTGACTGTCACCCCAATAGTGTTATCTTTCTTACTTATTAGAACTCTGTGCAAAACCATAAAGTACATTTGCTTTCTTCAAGGGGAGAAAGAAGGTCCTGGTGGTTAGGATGTGAATACTGGGGCACAGACTCTTAACCTGGAGCAGGGCTGGGTTTAAACTCTGCCTGTGACCCGTGGTTGGCAGCATTCTAAGATGGTTCCATGATTCATGCTTCAAACTTGGTATCCACAGAACTGTGTAATCCCTTTCCCTTGAGTACAGATGAGACCTGCAGTTGGCTTCTAACTAATAGAACCAGGTAAATGTGATGGGGATATTACTACCAGGATTATGTCGCATCATAGAGCAAAGATGAAGAGCTCCTGAAGTTACATCAAGCACTCTAATCTGTCGATGTTAAGCTATTACCCTGGTGCGTCTGCCTAATCAAGTGAGACGGGCAACTGTCTTTTTGGTCTTGAGGACTCGGCTTTCACAACTCCTCCACAGCCTCAAGGAAATTAACTCTTCCAATAATCATATGAGTTTGAAAGAGGACTCGGAGCCTCAGATGAGGCCCTGGGTCGTATTGACACTCCAACTGCTCTCTTATGAAACTGTGAGAAGAGGACTTCATTGAACTCTGCCCACACACCCCTGAACTGCAGAATTACGAGTAACAGATATATAACTGTCTTATGCCACTGAGTTCATGCATGTTTGTAAAGCAGCAATGGACAATGTCAGCAGCATGACTGCAGGTTAGATTCTATGTATCTGAAAAGTGGGAGTGATATGTCATATGGCCACGCTAAGGATTAAATGAGTTAGCATATAAGGTTCTTAGAATAGTTCCTAGAAAACAGTCAATACATGTTAGCTATCACTAAAATCTTCATTTTGCAGTTGAGGATACTGATGCACAAATATGTTAAATGAACATACTCAAGGTCAAATATTAACAATAAATTTTAAACTTCCTTCCTTTTTAAGTTGTTTAGGTCAATTTCTGCATCAACATTTCTTCTAAATTTATTTCACCCTGGACTTGTATCTTCTCCTCAGCTCCTCATTTAGGAAACATGGGGTAAAACTATGTTCTCTTAAAATTATAGCATTTGTGACTCTATACATTTCAGAAGTCCACCACTCAGCCTCCCCCACAATTTTCTAGCCTGGATCCATGGATAAGAAGCCCACCAAGGAGAATCACCCTGCATGACCCAGTCTTTCCCTTCATCATCACCAGTGATCTCTGGGGTGAACAATGAACTCTAAGCCTGCAGGTTACAAAACTGCCCAAGAAGCAACCTGGAGAGAGTCACAGTGACAGTGCAGCTTAGAACCTGGATGACAAACTCAGGCACCACTGAATGGAAGCAATCCCAACCAAGGAATTACTACTGCTGAGTGAGAATAAATAAATCAGGGGAAAAAGACTTTTTAGGAGTTAGAGACAGAATAAAAGCATATGCAGAATGTGGGGTTGAGAAGACAAGGACATATTTGACTAGGGCTTTGTAAAAAAGCGGAATTATTTCTTGTAAGGGTTACTCGGATGCCTAAACAGAAAGCAAATAATTTTTTTTGACAGGCAGAGTGGATAGTGAGAGAGAGAGAGAGACAGAGTGAAAGGTCTTCCTTTTTCCGTTGGTTCACCCCCCAATGGCTGCTGTGGCCAGCGCGCTGCGGCCAGCTCATTGCGCTGATCTGAAGCCAGGAGCCAGGCGCTTCTCCTGGTCTCCCATGTGGGTGCAGGGCCCAAGCACTTGGGCCATCCTCCACTGCCTTCCCGGGCCACAGCAGAGAGCTGTACTGGAAGAGGAGCAACCAGGACAGAATCCAGTACCCCGACTGGGACCAGAACCCAGGGTGCCAGAGCCGCAGGCGGAGGATTAGCCTAGTGAGCTGCAGCGCCAGCCAGAAAGCAAATAATTTAACAATTTGGAAACATGAGGGCATTGTTCTTAAATTGTACCGTACCTAAAAAGCACTAAGCCTGAGATTTGTTTACAACACGGACTTCTAGGACTCACCGCAAGGATCTGTCCATCTGGTTTTGTTTTTGTCATTTATTTATTTTCATTTTATTTGAAAGGTAGAGTCAGAGAGAGATCTTCCAGCTCTGGTCCATTTTCCAAATGCCTCCAACACCTTAGGTTGGGCCAGGCCAAAGCCAGAAGACTAGAACTCAATCTGGGTCTCCCAAGTAGGTTGCAGGAACCCAAGAACCTGAGCCATCATCTTCTCCTTCCCAAGGTGCATATTAGCAGGAAGCAAGATCAGAAGCAGAGTGGAGACTTGAAGCAGGCACCCTGATATGGGATGTAGGTGTCCTTAGCAGCAACCTGACAGCTGCACCAAACACCCACATTCTCCAGTCCATCTGTTTTAAGACCATTTACAGGCTCTGTTAGAATATGACCCAGATGATCTTTTTTTTAAAAAAAAAAAAAAAGATTTATTTATTTTAAAGTCAGAGTTACATAGAGAGAGGAGAGGCAGAGAGAGGTCTTCCATCTGCCGATTCACTCCCCAAATGGCTGCAATGGCCAGAGCTGTGCCAATCCAAAGCCAGGGGAGCCAGGAGCTTCCTCTGTGTCTCCCACATGGGTGCAGGGGCCCAAGGACTTGGGCCATCTTCCACTGCTTTCCCAGGCCATAGCCAAGAGCTGGATCAGAAGTGGAGTGGCCAGGACTTGAACTGGAGCCCATATGGGATGCTGGCACTGCATGTGGCGGCTTTACCTGCTACACCATAGCCCTGGCCCCCCAGATGATCTTGATACGTGAGGTTTCCAAACAAAACTTTGAGAAAAAACACATTTGAGAATGTATCAAGCAGAACTCTTAGCTGCAGGCAACCGCACTGAGTCTTGATTTCATAGAAAGATAAAGGAAAGATCACACATTTCAAGGGCTAGAAAAATTAGGCTTGGAGGCTGCATATGCATGAATATTGCTGCACAGTAGCATTGGTCTGGTGGAAATGCCACTGCCGTCTACGTCACTGATAAAAGGGGAGAATGCAGCTGCCACCACCAACTCCAGCAACGTTTATCAACTCTGCAGTTGCTGCCCCATGACTGTGTGCAGCAGCCAATATTTCTGCCTGTCCTTGCTTTCTATTTCGCAGCATGAGACAGACGTATCTATGTGGTAGAGCCCAAGTCACATGCTGCAGCCTGGGCCTGGCAGCAAAGGTGTCTGAAAACGCAAAGACCACGTCTAGCACCTCACGCTTCTATGAGGAGCAAAGGCATGTGCCAAGTGAATAAAGGTAGATTCCCAGCTGGGTGGCCAAAACTCAATGTAACTGTGCACAAAAGCAAATTAGCAAACTACAATGAGCATATATATATACACACACATATATATATATGATGTTTATTTAATTCAATGCACCATCAACACCATAACATTAAATTACTATAAATGAAATGATCACTACTACTTCCCACACTTACATTTATTTATGATTCAGTATTAGAATCCAACTCCTCTGAAACCTGAGATGAAAGAAGCTCACACGTTGGCCACTCAATTTGTTTTTTGTACCAGTAATTACTGGATGGCCATGTTCCTCTCTGTTATAAGCCCTGGTACTTAGAGCTGCAGTGATACAATTACCAAAGTCAACATGGACAAATATGCTCTCTAGATCAGTGGCTCTCACGTGTGTTCCAGAGCCACGAAGAGCCTTTCAGGGGATCTGGGAGGCCAACAGCATTTAATAATATGGTTTAAAACATTATGTTTTCTTAGCATCAATCTTTGTAACTGAATAGTATTTAACTTGAAATACTTAATTAAATACTCTAAATGTGCATTTTAATTTTAATGCAATAGATATAACTCACGGAAGCAAAGTCTTTAGTGTCTTTAGTAATTTTAGAGTGCAAAGGGGTCCTCAGGCCCAAAAGTTTGAAAGCTGCTGCTCTAGATCAACCATGTAAACAAATGAAACAGACACTCACCATGCTACGGCAATCTAACCAGGAATGAAGAAGGTAATAAAATAACAGTAAATAAAGAACAAAATAATAGTAAGTATCGCTTTCCACTCCGGCTACTAGGGTCTTGCTAAAATAATCAGAAAATTTAAACTGTAGCCACAATAAGTGGGTACTTTACCTCACAGAATCTGAGACTCGCAAATACAAAATTAGCACACTGCTAAATAATATGCAATCCCCATTCTTTCTGTATATGATTTTTAGTTGATACACAGTCACCACTGTAAAAACCTACGTTTTCCAGACTTTCTTGGAGTGAGGCTGCAGCACCCAGTTCTGCCAATAGGGATGAGCAGACGTGATGGAATCAAGGTCTGGATCCTGCCTCCAGAGGAAGAGCCATGGCCTTCTCCATCCACCCTTTCTCCTTCTGCCAGGAGACTTTTCTTGGGTCATGACGATGCGCCATGGCAAAGCAAGAAGAAACAGGAACACCCCGGTTTGCTTGCACTCAGACCATGAGGACTTTCTTTCTTGATGACTACTGTGTCTTTTTTGGGCAGCTGGCCCAGTATCCTGACACAGACAGCAAGTCTCTTCAGAAAAGATGACTCAGCACTTCCAACAGACGACTTCAGCCAACACTATCCCCTTCCCTTTTCCCAGCCTCAGCACCGTGTCTGCCCTGCCTCTATACTTTGGTCACAAGTACAAGAAGTAGCAGAAATATGAGTGCACATCTTCCTCCTTTCTTGCCCCCAGCTCACCTAAATCCTGTCCAACCTGACATCCAGGCATTTCAGACTTCTTCACGGTACTACGGCATCT